TTTATGAAGATGTCCTTTTTAGTCTTTCTACATTTATCAGCTTATCAAAAAGCTAATTTTACCAAACATTTTCAATCATAACAGCTAGCTTAACAGCTCTTCAGTTTTCAGCTCCGAACTTATAACTTTTCAGTTTTCAGCTCCTTTTCAGCTTTCAGCTCCTAGCTTATAGCTTTTCAGCTAGGTTTGCCAAACAGAGCCCTTCTTGTGGTCTTTTACAAAGTAGGGTTACAAGACAGAATTTATCCAATGCACACTCTCAGAAGTAGTGGCTGCAAGTTTCTATCATCACTCCAAAAAAAAAAAAAAAAAAAAAAAACACCAAATATAGGAGTAACAACATTCTAAACTAGTAATAACAACATTCTAAACTTTTAAATTGTCAAACAATTTAAACTTTTCTAACTACCAAACCCCCTCTAAGAATATAATATTTCTCGCTTTAAAAATTAAATTATTGAAAATGGTCTCAAAACAATTAACAAAGATAAATTACAATATTTTTAATAAGCACATCTTAGACAAAAGAAGTTAAATACTCTACTCAAAAGTACTAGGAACAAAGATACACTCGAAATTACTTTTGTTAAAGATTGAGTATTAGACTTTATGTTATAATTATAATTAAGGGAGTTTAAAGTTTAATGTATTGAATAACAACAACAACAACAACAACAACAACAACAACAATAATAATAATAATAATAATAATAATAATAATAATAATAATAGACTAAACCCATTCTTTGAGACATGATACTAATCAACTCAAAACATTGTTAATTAACCTCGACATCGAAATGTGAATGTGTCGTCTAATTTGTTGAATTGTTGGTTGATATTGAAAAGTTAACTTTTAAAGTCAAAAGTTGATCTGTATTAGTAAAACAAATTATTGGGGTTTCATGTTGTTAATTAATTATTATATTCTTTGTGTTGGTAATAGACACCATATCATTATATTGTAGATGAAGTGAATTTGGAAGTTTAATGTCACATCCGGATAGTTAATTAATATAATGATAATCATCCTCCCAAATGCTCTGTCGGGCCGGCGTGTGGGGGGTCCTTAGGGTTGGGATTCAGCCTTTTAATTTGGAAGAATATAATGATAATCATTTATATGTTATATGTAAGTTGACAATAACAAAAGTTTGAAAAATATACTATGTAGTTTTAGCAAAGATTTAGGAGCATATTTATTTTGGTATTAACTATTTCCATTGAGTAGCTAGCAACCCGGCCAAATTGATCGAGCAATTGGTTTAGTAACCACAATGTTTCAAGTTCAACTACTTTTTAAGGACGATGTTTATTGGCTTTATTGATTTGAGTCGATTAGTTATGGTAACTTAAATTGGTTTAGGCATTTAGCACACTTTTGAATAACGGTTATTAATTTTCTCATAAATGAATTATTTCTATTGAGGCAATTTTCTTTTAGACATTTTGATCATATAAGCGCCTATATTTATGTATTTAATAAACCTAAATATGAATATTATTTTCTGTATGTACATTTATTTTTAATGAAACAAATTGAATAATATTTCTTTTTAAATTTTTCTTTATTCTAATTCTTATGGAATTATTCTCAAGCTGCCTCTGTTTTCATCTATACTCTCTTTTCTTCCCGATGAAAAAGGCTAATCAAAAAGTTTATTCTCTTATCATCTTATGTTTGAAATTATATAATACCTAAACACACAAAACAAAAAAAAAAAAAAAAAAAAAAAAAAAAAACAAAAACAAAAACAAAAACAAAAACAAAAGCAAAAGAAAAAGAGAAAAAAAAAAAGGTTTGATCCGATCCCATTAATCTTGATCACATTCCATTACTTTTACATCATTTTCTTATTAATATTTTTTTTTTACTAAATTTTATGTATCATATCAATACGTACTATCTAATGTAATTGGTAATACCCTACATATATATTAGATGTGTAGTCTCACAAGAAGAACCATAACGTAGTTCTTCATTACAAATCGCAATTATTGATGTATGTCGTCTGTCTATTGCATAATATATATATATATATATATATATATATATATATATATATATATATATATATATATAGAGGGACGGAGGCCCCCCTCACCCCACCCCATATATAGTATTTGTATGTATATATGTATATAGTACATGTTTTAGTATTAGTATAAAAAAATATATAAAATATTAACAAGAAGTGACTAAGTGAGTTAGTGTAGGTGGTAGAGCACAACTTTGGTAATAATGGGGTTAAGGGTTCCAATCTTATATCATCAAGATAATTTTACAATTTTTTTTTAATAGTTTTTTTAATATTGCACACACACTCTATAATAAGATGTGTAATTTATAATGTGTTTTCTATTCAAATTATTTTATTAATTATGTTTCATATTTTGTTATGAATATTTTTATAAAGTTTCGATGTGTTTTATTTTTCGTCCATATCCAACAATATTTACAATTATATTTCTTAGGTAGTTTATTTATTTATTTTTAAATTATCTCTTTTGTTTTAATGTTTCGCCTTTTCTAGAAAAATTTTCTGAATCCGTCTGTACTGTTTCGCCCCCCCTCAACCGAATTTCTGGCTCCGTCCCTGTATATATATAGGTGTTGACTGTTACGTAAGTAAAGAAAAATAAAGTTGTATATTTTGCTATTAGTTATAGCTTTTGACATACAGATAAACATTTAATTTGATAATTGGTATCATAGCAATAAGGCACAAATAATTTTTAGCATAATAATAAGCATTTAACCCTAACAATATAACACACATATATATACCAAATATTATAAAAGTAGGAAGCAAACGAAAAAAAGAAAAAAGAAAAAAGAGACAAATCAACTCAAGATTAGACTTGATTATCATATTTGAATAAATGAGAATAGTTCAATCTTATCTTTAAAAAATACTTTTTTCTTGGTATTATTGCACAAATGCGGCGGAGTTAGCTGAAAAATACCTGATAAATCTTAACACTCCAAATATGTCAACTTCTATTAATCGGACCTTTCAACTTTCAAGCCCATCCATGCATGCACCATGACCGACCCTTCTATTATATTCCACCAAAATTACATCAAATTCCTTCCCACATTAATCCCATGAGGGTTGTCCATATATATATATATATATATATATATATATATATATATATATATAATAGAGACAAAATATTGATCTTGCCAAAATCAGCTGTCCAGATTGAACACTGATTAAACAAAAATGCAGTGGTATTTTGATAATTTTGCGTATTGTTGAAACTTTAGGTGCGTATTTTCTATGTTTAAAGTGCGTCGTTTTAACACTTAAGGTGCGTTAGTTCTACAATCTACACTTGACAACTTAAGGTGCATTAGTGTTGAAACTTAGGGTGCATCATTCTAAAGTTTAAGTTGCGTCTTTTCAAAGATTAAGATGCGTCCTTTTAATGCGGCATTTTAACATTTAAAGTACATAAGTTCTCCACTTAAGGATCATCATTTCTTAAGGTGCGTGATTTTACCACTTAAGATGCGTCTTTGTAACACTTAAGGTACGCCATTCAATTCTAACACTTAAGGTGCGTCATTTTTACACTTAGTTTCTGCCTTCCATGATGCATTTTTTTTTTTTTAATTTTCATATATTGATTTGAACCGTTGATCTAGATTTGATCAACTGCTCAGATCTCACGACATGTTTCAGATCACCTGGGAGATTCTCCGCACTAGATCTCATCCATATATATATATATATATATATATATATATATATATATATACACACACACACACACACTCGTGACTTACCATTTTCCTTAATAATGTTCAAGTCATACTTTTCATCCTTAGCAAAAAAAAAAAAAAAAAAAAAAAAAAAAAACATTAAATAATGTATTTTTTTTAACAAAAAAAAAAAAAAAAAAAAAAGTATAAAGTCTTCCATTCTTGTGGAAAGTGGTAAGGATGCAGTGAGAAAATTCATGGAATTTTATTATTTTTTTTGGAAAATTAAATAAAAACATGTGATGGATTGTAGTACTAAACAAACTGCGTGCATGCATTAGTCAACAAGGTTTGCCGACATATATATGTGCATGTGCATGTTGGTTTAAGGCTAAGTACCATTTCGCGCAGCCGTGCCAGCCACACAAGATCGAGTCATATAAAGGAGGCAGCAAGTTTCTACATTATTTTCTTTATATTTTACCCTATACAAATGAAAAGTATTCGCAGTTTGGTTTGCTTGTTTTTGTAAAAGCAACGCCTTTTCAATTTGCATTTTAATTTCGTAAATACCCTTTTTATTTCTTTAAAAAAAATGGGGATTTTATTAACAAACAGAGCACAAAGGGAAAAAGTAAAAACTAAATAAGATTTTTTTGATCACATATATCATCAATTAGTTGATTAAGATCGCACATCAAAACTAATCATGTTCTTGTTGAGTAAAATTTCAAGAGTGACAAAATATTCACTTATGCATTTTTAAATATCAGAATTCTCGAACCTTTTTATTTCAAAAACGTAGAATATATTAACTAATGACGGGCTTGAAATAAAATTCACATAGAATTGTATTACCATGCATGTTTTGAATGTGAATTGATGTTTCAAGTCAAGCCTAAATCCCAACAATATATTTGACATTTTAGCTGGGGTTGCATTAACAATTAAGCAACTTATTAATTTTATAGTTTCATACCGAAATTTGATAATTATATATACATACATATATATATATATATATATATATATATATATATATATATATATATATATATAATATTATTTGCTTAAAACTCGAAGAAAAATAAATAAGTTTAATAATTAATGTATATATATTGATGGAAAGTGGGCTTATTACAATAATCACAAAGCAAAATAGTCCTAGCTACTAATTTAATCCCCAAACACGTGTGGGGGGAAATACGAATATTAATTTTTTTTTTTTTAGGGAGGCTGGGGGGGGGGGGGGGGTTGGGTTTAATTTCATTATGTTTTTTTTTTTTTTTCTACAGGAGAAACTTTGGCTGATTGCAGCATGACAAATGTATGACACTTTCATGTTCATCCAATGCTGAGATATTTTACAATTGCTGGCGGTTATATGTCTGTCTTTCACTTTCATTCTTTGAATAATCGGAATCCCATTCCATTCCTTTTTTGGTTTTTTCCCTTCTCAATGACGTCACTGGAATTGGAAAGCTGGGTTCACGAAAATGGGCTGGTTGAAGATGCTATTTTGGGTGTATTGGTGTGGGACTACTTCACCAAGGCCAAAAGGGACAATTCCATTGTTATTGGTCATTAGTGTGGGGTTTTGGTTGTCAAATGTTGCTGGGTTATTGTTGTTGTCGCCTAGGAGTTGTGAAATTGACCCAAAACAATCCATTTCCAGGAGGTGGGTTAATGAGCATGCCCTTGGCAATTTCATCCCTTGTACTTGTGGTCCACCTTCTGAACAACTTGCAATTTCTGGGTTTGTCTCTTCCACCTCTGTCTTCATCATCATCATCATCCCCGTATTTGAATTGGCTTTCCCCAAGTTTTTCTTCTTGTAAATTCGACATAGAACCCAATCGTCCAGCTGAAAAAATTACAATAAAAATTTATTATATACAATACTAAATGAAAGGAGGATAGGCATAATATATGTGTGTGAGACAAATTAAATTTGTAGCTTACCCTCATGGACCCATTTTGCCTGGCGGGTAATGATCTTGATTCGCTAAGGCGATATTCGTGCATGATCCAATCAGTCTTGATGCCCTTTGGTGGCCTGCCCTTGTAAAACACGAGAGCTTTTTTGACACCCACGTATTTAGAGCCACTATAGATGGCCTTGTCTGTGCCTGTGGCTTTCCAATAACCCGACACGGCTGCCCTATTGGGACGAACTCCGTTGGGGTATTTCCGGTCTCGAGGCGTGAAGAAGTACCACTCCTTCTCTCCGAATTCTGCTTTCTCTACAATTAACAAATTAAACAAGATATATATATATAATTAATAAATTATTATTGTAACACGAATAAACAAATACTAAACTGATAAGACTAACCAGGCAATTCCCAAGGATCGAACTTGTAAATATCGACTTCGGGGATAATGGAGACAGGGCACGGCATAGAAGTGGCCTGGTTACGAAGGTAATACATGATGAGCTCTTCATCCGTAGGGTGAAACCTAAAGCCAGGAGGAAGATCAGAAGTTTGTTTGCCGCCCATCATTTTTTGTACGGAAATTAAAGGATCCAAAATATGTATGTGTTGGCTGTACTAAACTAGATTTGTGTTGGTTTGAGGATATGTTTTGTGGTATATAGGTAAGAAAGAGAGAAAGAGAAGGGGAGATGATTGTATAGGAGGAGAAAGGAAAATGAGGTGTTTGAAAGGTTTGCAAGGGTAGCGCTGGCCAATTTATTTGCGAAGGTTTCTTGTCGTCTTGCATGTATGATTTATGATTACATCATATACATTTGATTGGTTGTTTTTGAATTTGATTTCTAGCTTTCCTAGTATGTATGGGGGTTAGGAAAGTCACTTTAGTACTCTTCCTCCCACCAATCACTAGCAAGCAGCTTTGCTTTGCCTTACACAGGGAGAGAATAGTATTCTTTGTACTAGTTCTTATCTTGCCAATATGAGAAACCCTCATTATTTAAGGTTGCCAAGTGTTAATGAATATTATTTAGAAAAGTGATGAATACATCATCATCTTTTGTTTTTTTTTTTTTTTTTTTTTTTTTTTTTTTTGGGAGCACGTATGATGATAATTACCATTTAATTATCATTATCATATTTTTTGGGTATACCCAGAATTACCGTCGGACACACTGACTAATTCCCTTTTGGTTAAGGCTGCTCCAAAGTCAATGATAGAACCCTTGACCTTTGGTTAAGGATGGGATGAGTCCCTACCACTCAACCACACCATCCAGGTTTTTATGAATGTGGTCCATGTGGATATAGTAATTTCATATTCGCTTGTTTAGTTCAAAGGAATGTGAGATTATTGTAGAGAATGCGAGATTCCTAAACTTTATTTTTAATTTATTTTTGATAATTTTATGGAAATCACCTTTCTTTTACATTCTTAGGTTGGGTGAGATTCACGAGAATAGAATATTATCTCAAAATATCTCTTGAATCAAACACCGTTCGAAGAGTTGAATTTAAGACCTTTACAAGTGGATTAGACACCGAAAGGGCTTCACCACCTTTTGTCATCAAGTCAATGACTACATCTACACGATGAATACATACTCCGTTAGTTTACAATTAGTAATAATAAGTTTCTCTACAAAGTTGGTCAAACTCCTAACTTGATTTTGTAGTATAATTAAAACTTGACCTCGTATCATTTGGTATCAACGCCACATCTTAGATGAGTGCACTTATAGAGCGCCCCCGACTAGAGGCCGTGAATAATATAGTATGGAAATTATTATTGGGATGCATAATCATGGGATATTTAAAAAAAAAAAAACATAATAATAATGGCTAATATTGCAAGGAAATTCGAACGAAAATTGCCAAAATATAATTTTGACGAACCAATTCGCACTTATGATTAGCGCTATCCTGCATCTAGTGCTACTTTAACAAACTTTTATATTCAAAGATAATTTAATTCATATATATCCAAAAATAGATTGAAAAATTCCAAGTCAAAAAAGAAAATATGCATATGGTCTTAAAGCTAGCTGGCTAGCCAGTTAAGCAAAGAGAATTATAGGAGTTTTGGTGCATGAGAACATTCAACTTTTGGAAGTGTATTTAATTTTGGGTTTATTCTTTTCCACGCCTATGGAACCGCGTTACAACATTCTACATTAATAGCCAACTATACCTAGCTAGCTCCGATGCTTTATTAGATATTTCTTCATTGTTATCTTTAACTACAAGATATTTTAAGCACAAAAAATTAAATATACATTCTCAAGTTATACGCTAAAACAAAATTAAGCAATGTTTGGTAAATAGTTGTTACGCTCTTAATTATTTAGTGGGTTTGATTAGTTGATAACACTAGTTGATTGTAAAAAAGTGTTTGGTATAAATTAGTTGTTAGTTGATAGCTGATTACATGAAAAATTACTTTCCCAAAGCAAAAATGTGATCGAAAAAGTTATTTTGAGCAATTTTTTAAATTTTAACATTTTGAAAAAATAAATTGTTACAAAAAAACTAAACATCTCATATTGATTGTTTAATTAAGTCAAACAGCTAATAATAGTGGTCAAAATTGACTGATAAGCTTACTTATTTTACTAAACAGGACATTAATCTTTTTTCCTTTTCCTTCTAGTAATTATATCAATATTACCCCGTTTCCACAATTAAAAATCTGAATATTGAGATCTGTTTTTAAAAAAAAAAAAAAATTGAACATTTAGGTTTATCATCTCTACATGTCTCGGCGTAGGTAAACAATAACAATTGTCTAATGTTTTTTTAACAAATATTTTCAAAACTTTTAATTATTTATGGTCATCGGAACATTGGTGAGGCTCTCCCCGCCCCACAACCCCGCCGCAGAATGCTTATCCACACGGCTGACGGGAGTGTATAATTATGGCAAGCTTATCCAATAGTACATTTCTTTGGACAAATTAAAGAGTATTATACATAAAAAAAAAAAAAAAAAAATCCATATACGTACTCAATTATTGGACCAACCAACTCCCAAACGTTAATTAAATTGCTTTTGGCGGCACGCTAGACTAGCAGTTGGTACTTGGTAGCTAGTAAACAACGTGTTTACTAAATTTATTAGGATATTCTGTAAATATATTAGGATTCAAATCTTATACTTTGTAGAATATCATATTACATTTATAGGAATTCAAAAATAAAATAAATAAATAAAACTCTTTATATTCAATATGTAAATTAATTGATTTTATGATCACAAAAAAGAATGAACGCATGATAAATATCATATTACCTCAACTCCAAGCTACCGTCAAAATGGATAATAAAAAGTATTTAGCGCTCTTTCAGCTCAAATACGATGTAAGAATTGACAAACAGCTTAGGTGTGAAGCAAAGACAAAACCCATACAACATTAGTATTTAATTAATTGGTTGGAAGTCATGGAGTGGATAACGTGTGTATACTATGTTACGTTGCTTTTTCTACTCTAGCTACTATAGCCTTAACGTCTTGATTATATGATGACCATTAACAAAATAACATTAATCTAATCAATTCACAAGTGGAACAAACTACTGGAAAAATAGCATAAAATATGTAGTATCGTTCCATTTTATACCTCCTCATTTGTCACCTCTCGATTAGGCCAGATTTCCATTCCGATTCTCGTATGCAAACCAAACACACCATAAACTTTATCTCTCAAAACCCTGCTCATCTTCCTCCTTTTTATGTTCAAAGCCGTGTTCTAGTTTGACGGGCTTATTGTTTAAGTTCTCAAACCATAAGTCGTAATTCGTTTTAAGGAAAGATTGTTTCGCTCGACTTAAACTAAACTTCAACCTTTCGATGATTTTACTTGTATTTTTCAAAAATAATATTTTTGTAGTATCATTTTCTTACACAAACTACAATTATTTCAAAATTTTTAAATTAATATAATATTTTTATTCAAAGAGTTACTAAGTGGATGAAGCATAATTTTTGTACTAAAAAGTTATGAGTTTAATCTTAACACTTTATTGGTTAGACGTGTTATATAATGTCTCTTCACTACGATTTATCTTTTCACATAATGATTACTGATATACGGTCTCACGGCCTTACGACATCGTTTCAATTCGTTCATTTATACATTATTTATATTACGTTCTTATCCGGATTTATTGATTGGGGTCCACCCCGGGTTAATTAAATCCATCATTGGTGCTCTTGTTGACTTGAGGAGAGCTTGAGAGAATTTTTCTTAGTGAGGATGAATAGTGGTGGCCAAAATTATGAGGAGGAATGTGGGAGGTTGGGGGGTTTATCTTGTATAAAAACCCCCCTCCTTGTCCTAACAAAGGGCATTCTATCTACATTCTACATCTATTACACACAATTTGTCCCGAGAAACATTGTAATAGCCAATTTACGGCATTTAATACAATATACGGTCTCACGGCCTTACGACATCGTTTCATTCATTTATACATTATTTATATTACGTTCTTATCCGGATTTATTGATTCGGGTCCACCCCGGGTTAATTAAATCCATCAATTACTAAACTACAATAATCCCCATACACTTAAATTAAATTAAACTTTCACTAATATAATCAATTTTTGCAATACAATTACAATTTATTTGCATTGATTTGTGACATACTAATTAAGGATTATAATTGGTGGTGCAAAGATTAAAGCAATTCAAACCATAGTCAAAATATTGACAAAAATATAAAATATCATTAGCTGGATAAAACGGTACGAATACAAAATTACAAACTAAAGTACAATGTTTATGTCCTTATGATAAACTACGAGATATTACTTATATACATTTTCTCATATACCAACAATCATTGTAAGATCGCTTGATTCGAAGTACGATTAAAAATATTGTTTCTCAATCAATTAAGACATAATTTTCGTATTTGAAAGTCACGAGTACAATTATTTTCAACAAGTTGAACTAATTGTACAAGGTCTTACAAATACGATTTAGCGCTCACGTGTGATTTGTGAGCTATTATATAAGAGTGAATTTTACCCCGTGCAAATCATCAGGTAATAGCAGTGGATTTTTCTCGTCACCCAATTTTTTTTTTTTTTTTTTTTCTAATTTATAAGACTAAACAATCAATAAACATATTTCATTTCAATTAATCAATCTAAAAACATATTATCACACATGATAAATTATAAATCACAAATTAACTTCAATATAAATTTCACAATTTGATATCAATCACAAACTGTCACACATTATACATTTATCAAATTCATCCTCACAGTTAAACAATTAATCAGCTTTGAATAAATTCATCTTACAATTTTATTTTATTTTTTTGTTTTGCAGATCTCATAAAATTTTTATTAGAATATTATCTCATAACAAAAATATTATTAGAATCAAGGGTTATATTTAAAAAAAAAAATGGAAAATGTGGTGAACAATTTTGAATTTTTTTTTCTTCCCTTTTTAACTACTGTTTTTTACTACTACTGTTACAAAATACATATATTTTCTAATTTAAAATTTTGGTTTAAAGCATGGTTGAAAAAATTGCTAGGCGATCATCGGGCGCTCAGAGAGTGCCTAGCGCCTAGGCGGGGATTAATCGGCGCCTAGACGTCCGTGTATTTTTTATTTTTAAAAAAATTATTTAAATTTTTTTAATTTTTTAAGACATGATAATTATAAACTATTTAATACTTTAATAGTTAATACTAAAATATTAAATATTAACCTACAAATATCTAGAGTTTGAACAATTTAGGGTTATTTCGCTCAAAATAATATCGTTTTGAATGAAATAACTCATTTAAAAAGAATGGAACAATAGTTAATTGGCCAACTAGGCGATCTAATCAGTGCCTAGACGGCATAGCTGGCCAGCCGCCTAGACCACCGATTATAGTGATACGCTAGACGGCCGGTCAGCGCCTAATGCCTATGCGCCGATTAATCGATGCGGGATTTTTGCAACATTGGTTTAAAGTGGAAATCTAGAGTAGTCGCACATAGCTGATTGAGTTGGAATTATATACGGACTATATTTTACTTTCTTTATCATAGTACTGAAAGTGTGAAAGTAAATCACAAACTTCCAAAAGCAGCCATTCCCCACATGGAAAGTCGACACGTCACATACTAAAATGGGGTAGAAAAGATAAGAATTCCAAAAGAAAAGAGTTATATAATTAAATTAAACAAAAATGAAAGGTGAGTTTTTGCTTCGTGGTTCTTATCCGTCCACGTCAACAGTGGGGCCTGTTATTGGAGCAGATCCGCCGTTGGATCTCAACATCACCCAATTATTTTTGGAATAAGGGTCAAATAGGTCATCGAACTGCACACGGTAAAACAATTAGACCATTGAACTTAAAAAACTAACAATTGGGTCCCTAAACTAATCAATTTCAAACAATTCTTCCAATTTGAAGGTTTCCAACAGGTCAACAGGTCATCCTTCTAAATTAATTATTTTTTAAAATTTAAATTTTAAAAATTAATTATTTAAATTAAAAAAAAAAAAAAAAAAAAACTGGTTCCGGCCGGAGACGGTCGTCTCCGGCTGGATTCCAGTTTTTTATTTTTATTTTTTTAATTTAAAAATAATTAATTTTTAAAATTTATTTTTTAAAAAAATAATTAATTTGGGAGATGACCTGTTGACCTGTTGGAAACCTTCAAATTGGAAGAATTGTTTGAAATTGATTAGTTTAGGGACCTAATTGTTGGTTTTTTAGGTTCAATGGCCTAATTGTTTTATCGTGTGTAGTTCAATGGCCTATTTGATCCTTATTCCATTATTTTTTAATATCTGTAAACGACGCGTGTATGGGGCATCACCCAACTTCTGATTAACATCAACCCCTGCCTACTGCCTACACGTGGCGTTTTGAATTCAACGAAATTTTGGCGCATCCGATGAGAATATGAAGTGATAAAGAAGAATATACCGTGAATCTCAGCCGCCTGATTCGCTTCATTTATCCCCTTAACATTTGCTGCCGCCATTCGTGTGGTAGACTTCTTAGTTCTTATCAATGTATTTGATTTTTTTTTTTAATGACAAAAAAAAATGGTATTTATTATTTGTGACAAATTATGCTCTATAACTGTGTGCATCATACATGGTTTACACAATTGCAAAAATAGCGTCATTTTACTTTTTAAAAAAAATTATTTTTGATTGACGTTAATTACGTAAATATATGTTCATAATTTTATAATTTCACATTCTAGATGTATAGTTATGAAGTTATGGATGTGTAGTTAGGCAATTCTGAATGTATAGAAGTTATGAATGTGTAGTTATGTAATTCTGAATGTATAGTTATGAAGTCATGGATGTGTAGTTATGCAATTCTGAATGTATAGTTATGAAGTTATGGATGTATAGTTCAAATTATGCACAATATAACGCCGTTAATAACAATCGAAACTGAATTTTTGTTTTTTAAGTTGAACATCAAAACGACGTCGTTTTTACAACAGTGTACACCATGCATGACGCACACGGTTGCACAACATAACGCTCCATTATTTGTGTGTATGCATTAAATCAATGTTATTGTGGAGTAGTTTATACTTTACACAAATATTTATGTAAAAATTAAAATTTTTCAATCAAATGATACGAATCAAAATGTAACTTACTTTACAAAATATGCGATTAGATACACACTTTGCTTTATATCATTTAATTTAATATTCGGCACCATATATACAACATGCAATGCAACTCATTTATAATTCTTTTTTAAAGATAGAGTTGAAAGATAGATAATTGGAAAGTAGTGAATAGGATAGGGGTGCTGAGTTTTAATATTAATTTTGTTGGCATGCGCAGATAATATAGTCGATTTCTTTCTTTTTCCCCCACCATAATTTTCAAGAATGGATGACTAAGCAGATTGAGTGTTTGGACCAAATACAAGCAGACACACATCATCAAACGAAAATGAACATTACTTTTTTACGGACTATTATTTTATACATATTTTATGTTTCTTTTTTAACCATGATTTAAAAAAAAAAAAAAAAAATACCGTACAATATTTCAACTCAGACTTATTGGTATCTGTCCTGTTCGCCAATAACGTTAGGTTGGGTTTATCTGCAGTGTCACGTGGATAACTTTCAAATATATGTTGTTGTTTTTTTTTTCTCAAAAATAATTATATGTAAAAAAATTCATTTTTAAGTTAAAATGTTGGGTGATACCGTCTTATTGTCCTATATGTGCGATGGATGAGTTAATATGAAAATATAATACTAATTAGGAATAAATTGTTTATTACTTATATATAAAAATGTAATATTTTTAAAGAAAATGTAATATTTTTACACTTTGACTTAAAGGTATTGCATTTTTTCTTATAAGTATTACATTTTCTCTTTTAAATAACAAACACTTGTCAACATTATTTGTAAGGGAAAGTATAATGCTTTTGATGAAAAAATGTAATACTTTTACATCAAAATATAAAAGTATTACATCTTTCATCAAAAATATTATGCAATCTCTTATAAGTAACAAAAACTTTATTTCTGATTAGTACGACATATTTCAGTATAAGTATACATTCCCATATTGATATGATCGGTCTTACAAATAAGGATTCGGGAGACGGTCTCACGCAAGTGTGACTTTTTGTTTTTATATAATAAATGTTGTGGTCTCATTAAATTTTAATGGGTTCAATTATTTATTTTTTTTTTATAGGAAAAATGACGCTTTTTCTCCCGAGTTATATACTTATAACACTTTTTGACATTTTTACCCTTAAAGTAAATATTTTATTTATTTGTCTTCTCCAACATAATATTGCATATAAGTATGGATGACAACGGTTCGGTTCGAACTGAACCGGACACTATAGTCTATAGCAATCGAATTGAAAGTTTCCGATTATGATTCAGATCAGAACCCAATATTTGAATTTCAATTTATTAAAATTATGAATCGAAAAAACAGGATCCTGAACCGTAAATCGGCGATTCCGGATCCAGTTCACAATTTTGAACCGGTCTTTATTTTAATTTTTTTTTTTGAAATAGTCTAAATTCAACAGTAAATGTAATTTTTTTTCCAGTTTGAAACATGAACTGGTCGTTCCGATTTGCGATTTTAATACACTCTAAATATCAGATTTCTCTTCTAATTTGTAATTGGAATATTTCGGGTTGGTTGCTATAATGTCTGTTCGGTTTGAACCAAATCGTGATCATAATTTGTTGGAAAAGAAAAATAAATGAAATATTTATTTTTAGGGTAAATGTGTCCATTTAACATTTTAGGGGAAAAACATTCACTTAAATAATTTAGAGAAAAAATGTGCTATAAGTATATAACTCATAGGAAAAAAGTGTTATTTTCCCTTTTTATATTATAAATATACATACAGACATGTAAATAAGTAGCAAACTTTGAATAATGTCAATATCTTCATATTATATAAATTTATAATAGTGAGTTTCAATTCAATTTGGATAGACACAACTTATGAATTTTTAAAAGTAATAAATTTCAATTCAACCGTCAATTAAGTCAATACATGTGAATAGAAAAATCATAAGCATTACAAGCACGAGAATTTTATATTTAACCGTTACTAAATTTTTAAATTTACAATAATTATAAAATTAATTTTATTCTTAAAATTTTTCAATAATTATAAAACTAATATTATATGATTTTTACTAAAACCCTTAACCCTTGATAAACCCTGATAGACGACTCATACATATCAGTCCTTGTCTTTTATAAGAAGATCATGTCCCTCCATTAAATATGTCCCTCCATTAAATATCTCATTACTTCCTAATATTAGCTCTACTTAACTAGCAAAGGCAGTTGTGGGATTTGGGTCATGGTGCACCAATTGAATATTATAGGAATTTTTCACAAATTTGAAATTCAAAATTTATTGGAATGGAGAAAGGAAAGGAATCAGGTGGTCTTGCTTGGAAGTTTCAAAATATGGTTAATCCAAAGCGTATGAATCACATTTTTTAAAAAAATTAATTCGCTTCATCACGTTAGAAGCATTGAAAATTCTGTTCCCCATGATATAATGAATTACTAAAAAATGTTTCGAGCACGAAATTTTTTTATAGATATTGGCAAAAAACTAATAAGCTTTATTTTAAGTATTTATAAGAGAGACAAAAGAAGTTACATACGTACAAAATTTTCAAGATTTCAGATCTCATTTTTTAATTTTGATTTGTACCCCTACAAAAGTCTATACGTTTCAAATTCATTCAAAAGCTTATACACACACGGACGCACACACTTCTATTGTGGAGCAAATACAATTTAAAAGCCTTTTAAATTTCAATTTTTTTCTTAACTCAATTGATACATTGCAAGAATTAATTTTTTTCACTTACCCATTATTTATTTTAAGTGTATAATATATTAATTTAAACATCATTTAAGGAAATTCAAATTCACTTTGATCTGACCCAAATTAAAAATGCATATCACTTAACGTGTTACTCCGTATTTTAAACTAATTTTTCTGACATTTTTTTTTAAAAAAAAGGTTAATTTTGGTCTCGATTATAATAACATTTTCAAAATTATTCCAATAAAAGAAAAGTAGTAATCGATTGCCCAATATTTGAAAGTATTTAACAAAATTCATTTTGGAACCAATTCGACACAATTTAAAAATATGGGGGCAAACGTATAATTTCCTAAAAAATAGATCTGTTATGACGTCGTTCTGATGCTCACAGCCTCGTTGACTCTCAGCCGTTTTCTCGTTGCTCCGAGCTCGAGAGCTCAATGAGATCCGGCGGCGCAAGCCATGAGCAGAAAGTGCAACCCGCGACGAAGGTCGCGCTGACGTCACTGTCGGCGGCGGCGGCGGAATCGGCAACGTTTCCAATTGACCTAATCAAGACTCGGCTTCAGCTCCACGGAGAGTCTCTCTCGTCAGCCCGCCCTACCTCCGCCGTCCGCGTCGTGTCGGAAATTGTCCTGAATAACGGCTTTTCCGGGCTATACAAGGGCTTGTCGCCGGCGATTATACGGCATATCTTCTATACGCCGATCAGAATTGTCGGATACGAGTATTTGAGGAACGTTTTGGTGCCTTCTGATCGGCCACTTTCTCTGCCTAGCAAAGCTGTTATCGGCGGCATTTCAGGTGTTATTGCACAGGTACATCAATCCTTAGAAATTCCCTTATTTCATGATATCACTAAATTACATTTGTTAAATTTTCTAGTGAATTTTATTGGATTTTTTTTTCTTCTGTTTTTTCTCGTTGATCATAATGCTGTTATGCACTTATGTTCTTGTGATAGCATACAAGCATTTAATTTTTGTTTAAGAATTTCTATTTTTTGTAAATTTAATTTTATATTTAGAGTTGAACTTGCAAATAAACACTGTTCATGTGTTCTACTGAATGTCTGCATGGTTGGATGCTCGATTTAGTGATGTCTGTTACTCTGTTCTAAGTCAATGAATGAGAATTTGATTACTGTAAGAATTTGGTTGTGCATTAGAGTCCATTGGTTAGAAACTGGCAATCCCATAGATGGAGTTTCCCAAAAGTTGAAATAGTAAGAAAGAAGATCAAATTGTACATGCAAATGCACTAGTAGAGTACTAGAGTTGTAGATAATTCAATCTACCATAAAAGCTCCTATGTTTTGAGCTTAGGAAGCACTGAGGAACCAGGAATTATCCTAGGGAACACTATAAAACCACTTTATTCTTTGAGATCACTAGAATGATAACCTATTCCAACCCCAAATGAGGTATTAGATATGATATTCAAGATTTCTATTGTAAGAAGTGGTATATATCTACCTTATTATTGTGGAAATTACTAGGAATGTATATAAGAGCCAATAGCCATTGTTACTTCCTGATGTTTACTCAGGTTTTTTCACATCTAGGGAAAAGGAATGCCTTTTGGTGTCATTTAATATACTTTGGTTGGTTTAGAAACATCTACAGATAGGATTAACATCTGGTCAAATTTAAAAATTACATCTCATGCAGTTTGGTGTCATAAATGTTTTCAGCCCCTAATTAAGAGTAAGAACAATTCTAAGGAATGTGCTCCAAATAGGTGAATAGGGACCAAATTGGGATTGGACAGTTCCTTTCTTACATTTTGCTTCTGTTAAAACCTTTTCTACACTCCAGTATTTGTTTAATTATGCATTTATCGGGGAACTTTTCCTTTTTCTTTCTCTTAATTTTAAGAAGGAATTTCACATTTAGATGGCAAGGTTGATAGATCTTGTTGCATAACTTTATGAAGATTGAAGAATGTGTCAACTAATTTTGTTTAGGCTATTACCGAGACTCCACAAATTATATCATAGTTTACTATGATAACCTTGAAACCAATCTACGGCTGCAGTTGTACGAGCACAGTGTGTTATTTTATTGGCTACGGCACTGTGCTTGCATTATATTCTTTTATTATTAGCAACATCTTGTCTTGGAAGTCTAAATATCTCTATTGGATCATATTTTAAAAAGGTTTTATGCTTCCTCCTTATAATACAGGTAGTGGCAAGCCCTGCTGATCTTGTTAAAGTAAGGATGCAAGCAGATAGTCGGATGGTTAGCCAAGGTCTCCAGCCTAGGTATCATGGGCCATTTGATGCTTTCAACAAGATTATACGTACAGAAGGCTTTGGAGGACTTTGGAAAGGGGTTGTCCCAAATGCCCAGAGAGCATTCTTAGTTAACATGGGAGAACTAGCTTGCTACGATCATGCCAAGCGTTTTGTTATCCAAAACCACATAGCTGACGATAATATTTATGCGCACACACTATCTTCCATCATGTCGGGTCTAGCAGCGACCACATTGAGTTGCCCAGCAGACGTAATCAAGACGAGAATGATGAACCAAGCCGCTGAGGAAGAAGGCAAGAGCAAGTATAAAAACTCATATCATTGTCTTGTGAAGACTGTTAGAGTTGAAGGTTTGGGAGCATTGTGGAAGGGATTCTTCCCAACCTGGGCAAGGCTGGGGCCTTGGCAATTTGTGTTCTGGGTTTCGTATGAGAAACTCCGGCAAATTGCTGGTCTCTCTTCCTTCTAACATCATTAAATCCAGATTTTAAGGATTAATGATAAATTTTGGTATACTATGAATGAATGTGAGCTAGGCACTGATGCAATGAATAATGAATTCATCCAAAATTTATGTTAGAGATATAATGATTTTTCAAAATCTAATGATGGGTATATTATGATTCATAATTTTTTTTTTTTTTAAAAAGGAATTTGATGTAAGATTTTAATGCACTTAGCATAAAGATTTGATAAATTTGTTGATGTAAAGATCAACTGTAGAATTAATTCTGAAAAAGTTGGGAGCAGTATCTAAACTGCACCTTTCCCATGCATGCACGATGAACCCACGTGGTATTAGTGTATTAATTTTGATAGACAGATTCAAAAGATGGGAAAATAGTCAAATGCATCTCAAACTATACTCGATATGAGTTATTTACCGATATAAGCGTTAATGTGTACAATTTTCTAAAAGAAGCATCTAATGAGACATTTGGTAAGCTAACTGCTAATGCAATTGTAACTCAACTCTGGTTCGTTGATGAGTAAATAAATATTAGTAGAGAAATTAGGAAAGAAGAGCAATGATAGATTACAGCTGCAATATTCAGCACCAATGGACTGGGTCCTTAGATTGGAATTACAATTATTCATGATGCAAACTTTCAACAACAATCATGTGGTGTGGGTAACTACTTCAAAAAAATCCGATAAAGATATCCATTTTTTTCCCCATTGAATAACACAACCATCAGCTTCAAAAAGTAAAAGAACAGCTATGTTAAATATGGCATGCACCTTTACCAACCACTATTGCGTCTCTCTTGCATCTCAGTTGCCCTATCTTGTTTTAGTTTGTCCACAATTCTTAGGATGTCTGGGTTGTAGAAACGGTCACGGACATATGGCTTTTCTTCTTCTTGTATCTCCTCGATTGCTTTAGGATAAGGGTTGGGAGGTGGTTCCTTCCCTTGAAGGCGTGCAATTTTCTTTAGTCGAGAATAAGCCATCTTTTTGGCCTTTCTTTCTGAGCGATATTCCATCTACAATCACAAAACATATGAGCTTAATGAGAGAAATCAAATAATACTACAAGTCCCGGGAAATCTAATCTCAAAGAAAGAACACATACATCAGCCACAGCCATAGCATCGTCTTCATTGAGGCCCTGCTCCTTCAACTCAAGCACTCGCCAGCCAAACAAACGTGCTGGAGGTGGATCGAATCCACGAATCCTATTAAAACATCAAAATAATTAAATACACAACATATATTAAGCGAGCAACCTTTTAGTCCAAACAAAACCTGCGCAGTTATGGACCAATTTTAATAACATAACATGTATACTCCAATAAGGGATTTGAGTTCTGCTACTCTACAGATGTATAATGTAGCAAGACATGCGGGAACTAGTCTACAGTATGTATTTCATTTCATATATAAGCCCCACATTTTCTCTTTTATTCTGTAATAGTATGCCTTCTGATATCTTCCCATCACGATATATGCTTTCAATCCTTGTATGCATCTAATCATCATCTTTCATTCATTCATCTCCACCTTCTAGACCACTTCATACTGTGGTCTAGAATATGCCACATCATAAAAAACTGATCCATGGGAAAAACATTACCGAAAAACTTGTATGGGGATTAATATGTCTCTGTAGTGACCCAATCATGTCAAGTTCCTGGTAGTGGCAATGCTCTACCTCTACCTCTTTGCTCCATCTTTATGTCCATATTCATCCTGTTATCTTCCTTCTATTTTATTATTAATACATATTGGGATGATTAAATACTCTTCTACCAAGAACCCAACAGAAATGTACCAGGTTAAAAAAAAATTGCATAATGCATTGTGGAACCTTGGTCCAAAATGACATTCAAATTATGTATCTGTAGTTACAGCCTGTAAATAAATTGAAGGCACATAATACGTTGACGGCATATATATAATGTGCAGTTAACATATTATGAGTCTTCAATTTATTTAGCACATAATATGTTAAATTGTGGACACATAATTTGTAGACTAGGGTACACAATACAAGGTGGATCCTGGTCCATGGTATAACAATTGAAAATTGTGTTGGAAAGATTACATTATCATTTAAAATAATAATAATAGTAATGTTCTATTTTGATTTTGAGATCATTTAATTTCACAGTAAGTTGATGTTAAGCCTTAGGAAACAACAGAGGGTGAGGTTGTTAACAGATGCTGCTAATGGTGCATGAAAAAGGAGAAATGAAGTAGTTCTTATTGGAAAACTGAGGTGGTGAGAGTAGTTGGATCCATCAAGGACCCCAAGGAGCAGTTCAGGACTTAGGTGCAGCAAAGGACGAACTGAAAAGAACAAGTTAGCAGGTTGATGCCGGTTAACACTACTAATCCTCAGAACAGTTTCAACGATGAGGCATAACATAGGCCACTAATGGAGGATCCAGAAAAGAACAGACCTCCAGTCCCACAGACACAGTTTCGACCCTACAGTAATTTTTTACTAGCATTCGCATCTGGATTAATCTAGTTGTGCCTAGGTTGGGCTGCATTCAAGAGGCTACAGTATTTTAGAATATATCTCTACACCAGAAAATACTGATTGTCTACTAAATTCATCAACTAGCAGCCTTAACCATCTAGGAAGCAATTCACACACTACAGTGTTGACACTCTGCTAGATTTCAACAGTGCAGAGATTATGCAAAATTCAAATCAAAATTTTATCCCATAGATCCACAGATATCTGTGGAATAAGGAACTAGGAGAACACTTTGCAATGCAATAATAAAAATAAAAAGCATAAAGAGTGGACACCATACTTGATTGGATCCTCGTGTTTAGAATCGGGATGCTTCCGAAAGAACTTCTTTACATAAACATCCTCCGGAAGAGTAATCGGGTTAAGTTTTCTCTCGGCGCGAGGAAATGTAGCCGGCGGTGCCCTAAATTGCGAAGTTAAAGCACAATCATTCAAAAATTTGTTTCCTACCAGAAAATTATCTGGAAAGGAAATTATTCCGAGAAATCAAGAAAATTAAGCCCCGCCGGAACTTGCAGTAAAACAGGGAAGAACTACATACTTTTCCATAGCTTTAAGCCAGACGGGCTCAGCTTTGGCAAAGCCTTTGACGAGCTTTCGGGTTCTCGATAGCAGATCGCCTTTCATGAACGACATGGCTGAAGCGGCCTCGGTAATACGACGTCGCTTTCTTCTGGTTCAGCTGCAAGTGAAGGAAATTGGGGAGTTTCTGCCGGGAAGATGAAAGGGAAGAGGAGGGTTTAAGGCATTGGGCCGAGATCCGAGCCCAAATATCTGGTCCATTTCATGCTTTCATTTTCTCTCCTTTTTTTTTTCTTTTTTTTTTTTTTAAATAATATTTAAAAAATAAAAAATTACAATTCGTTTTCGCATCTGTTAAACCCTAATCTCTCCGAAAAATCAACATTTCGTATTATCGTCTCTTTGTGAAGAGTGTAGAGTTGAAGAGCGAGCAACCGGTAATGGCTTTGAGGGCAGCAATGCTAAAGAGCTGCGGCGGCGCCGGCGCCGGCGCCGTCTCCAATATGGGATTCCCTTCCAGCTTGCGTAGACTTGCTCATGCCATTGCGCAGCCTGCTCCACTGGACAGTGCCATCGGCGGCCCGGCCCCTACAGCACCGCCTTTGGTTCTGCCTGAATTTGATGAAAGCATCAAAGGTGACGCAGGAGATATCACCTTCATCAATGGGTCTATGGAGCTCACGGCAGTCCCTAAGAAGAAGGTATTTCCCCTAACACCTTCCCGACCTTAATGTTTTGATGTTTTGTTAAGAGATGGATTTTTATTTTTGATCATTGAGTATGCTTAATGATATTTCAAGTTCAGATTTTTAACTAATGAAGTAATGAGTTGATCTAATAATTTATAACTGTGTGGTAAATGGTAATGCAATAGTTGATTAAAATAAGTGTCTCTAGTTCACTGTAATTATTTGTGTGTGGTAACAGAAATTGGATTCTCTTGTTTTATTAAAATTTAAACAAGTTTCTTTTTTACCTCAGTCTTGATTACTTATTTAAGTTGGTTTGATATTCACAGTATTAATGGATTCCATGCCAGGGAGCCCATCTCTACCATTGCAAAAGTTTTATACTGCTTATATTTCTGATAAAGTCCCAGACTATTGGAGTGCATTGCGAGACCTCAAACTTTTTAAACTCCTTTTAGTAGTTGCTAGACTACCAGAAACTTGACACTTTTGGTCCTCACGTTAGAGTTTAGGTTAGAATTGGATGCTAAAGTGGCACTAGACTTCATGTGATTAAAATAAATCAAAGTTTAAGGGTACTAAAGACATTTCGGGTAATTTCTTCCTAATTTATCAAAATTTCCCCATCAATGGATTATTTCCTTCTTCCAACTGCAACTCTTTAGAAGCACAGGTTTTTCTTTCTTTCTCTTTATTTCTCCTGTCATTTCTGCTGACTTCAACTCTCCAAGTTGCTACTGCCAATGGCCTAATGCTCCTCTGATCTCTATCTCACTAGTCATTAATCCTAATTGATTGTCTTTTTCAGACTGATCCTTAGCATTTTTTGTTTATTTGGTTGGAAAATGTGAAACTAATTGAACCTTGGAATGCCCACGTGTTTGATCTTGTTTTAAGTCAATGGTGCTCTGGTTGGGCCATGGTGACCTAGTGGCAGTCTGATATCGCAAGGTGGAACATGAAGAAGGTGGTTGTAGGTGTAAGAATGTCTTGTAGTGGTAGTGGTGAATGGTAGCAGCGTTGGGTGATGGATCTTGTGACCCAATGCTGTAGTGTTCATACAGATAGTGGAATAGGCTTTTATTTTTAAAAATTCTGGAAGGACAAAACTATGTTGGTACTATTGAAGTAATGGGATTTGGGATGGTGTTGTGACTATTGATTATTTCGGTCAAGAAGTCAAACGTGAAGCCTGTTGCATGTTTGTTTTTTGCTTTATATATTAGTTATCAATGTTGCAATAATCGGCGCCTAGGCGCTAGGCGGCCCCGGCCGCCGCGAGGAAGGCCGGAATCGGCCTCCTCCGCGGCCGGCCGGTTCGGCCGATTAATTTTTTTTTTTTAGGTTTAGGGTTTAAAACTTTGCCGAGGCATAACTTTTGACTCGGTTGTCCATTTTGGACAATTTTTTTTTTTCATATCGCGTATTTTTTCGAAATCTATACACCGCAAACCGCCCCCACTAATTTCTAAAAAAAATGCTTCTTTAGCTCTTAACTTTAGTTTTTATATATTTAGATGGTTTAAACAATCTTTTGAACAATTTTACAACCACTTACATAAATAGTTTGTAAGAAATAATGGGAACTTTATGTTTTATAAGTGAATTTTGATCATTGTTAATTTTTAATTTTTTTTATTTAAAAAAAAAAAAAAACGGCGCCTAGGGGGCGCCTAACGTGTTTTGCAACATTGTTAGTTATTATTGATTTTTTTTTTTTGAGATATAAAGAAAATAACTGCTAGCCTCCATGTTGGAGCAGCTTGTGATGCATTCACTTAACCAATGACCATAACTGTCCTTTATTTGGTAATAGATGGGCTAGTAACGGAGCTTTCAGTGTAGTTTCAAAAGTGACAATGTTCTGACAGTCTAGGGTCAAAAACAGACTTCTCTCTCTTATTTCAGTTTACATTTATTTGGTGGTATACATTCAATAATGCAGGTTTCTCGTCACAAGAGAGGGATACGAAATGGACCCAAGGCTCTGAAACCTCAACCAGTGATTATCCGCTGCAAGTAAGTGTTTCTAGAGTTGTAGTGAAAATTACAGTCTCTTTCAGATTTAATTTTTTTTTTTTTTTAAAAAGTCCATAGAACATAAACTTTGAACCCCTGTTTTATCTGCAAACTGTAAGTCTTTGCAAGATAATATGTGCAGCAGTTCTATTTCTTAACTTCTGGTGTATCTTTTTCATGGTTGCTTCAGAGTCACTTGTCTTACTCATACTTTTTAACTTAATAATTGTGCTGAAGTTGAATACCGTTTCTAGTGACAGAAGGGATGTAGAAGTGTGTTTACTCTCCAACTTCAATTCATCCCTCACACTAGGCTTTTTCTCTCTGGATTTCGATCATCGGGCCTGGTAGTTTGTTTCTATATACATGGCGAATCTGATTGTTAAATATACTTGTGTAATTCTGTAGGGCTTGTGGCCGAGTCAAATTGCCACACTTCTTCTGTTGCAGTGGGATTAGGCAAGACCCTGAACAGTAGAGACGTTCCACCCGCTGATCAAATTCAATCGCCAGCAATTGTTGAAGCACGATGAATGGGGGATTAGTAAATATGCAGGGCTTCATTCTTCTTTGTTGAAGCTGCCGGTTGAACCATTAACAGCTCGAGAATGTAGTTCTCGTCCCCCCCTTTTTTTAGGAATATATTCCGCAATAACTATATGGCTTTGAGAGTTTGAGTTGAGTGTCTTTCAAGAGGAATGAATTGTTTGATGGATTGATCCTCTAACAAAAGCATTAGACTTGTTTGACTTCCAAGGTAGAAAAGATTACATCTTTGCAATGCAAGAAGGATTGATGTTTCATTTCATTTCGGGCATTAATATACAAATATACAATTAGATAGTTTTAAGTTTACACTCTTAAAAGTTTCAAATCAATTCTTAATTTAATCAGATAGCTTACATGATTGAACTTTTGAGATGTACAAAAATAGCACAATCAGTTTTGGTTACTTAATGCTTTTTACAAAGAGTTTATTCATGTTGACTAGAGAAAATTGTGTGATTTGTCAAAAAGTGTCATGATCACTCTTCTAAACAAAACAACCAACATCACTCTTCTGAACAAATCAAACTAAGGGGGGAACAATGGACATATATATGGACAAAAAAGTCAACAAATAAATTTGTTAAAAGAAGTCATTAATTCACTCATAATGTCATCATCAACATAAGTATAGTTGAAAGTTAATATTATCATCAAGTATGACGTGTAGCTGATAGGGAAATTACAAATTAGTTGCAACTCACCAACTTCCACTTTGAATTTCAAACAATGGACATGGAGAAATCTTAGTCTCACAACAATTATATCACTTTCATATTTAGTTTTTAAAGTAGTATTTTTACCACATTTAGTACAAGATTTTTTATTTTTTATTTTGGTTACATTTGGCTCTTTCAACCAAATTTTTGGTAGAAAATAATCAAAATGCATCACATTTATCATACATTTATACAAAAAAGCATTGAGATATTTAAGCTGGTATGATTTTGAGTTGAAACATACAATGAATTTTAGTCATTTTCTATCAAAACTTGTTCAGAGGGACTACATACGACAAAAAATAAAAGCCATACACTAAATGTAACACAAATAAAACTTGAGAACCAAATGTAAAAATAATCTAATAGTCAGAGAACCAAAAATAAAAACAACTCTTCAAAGTTTAGAGTTAAAAATTTAGACAAAAATCCAAATATAGCACGAAAATAAGACTAATTGACTATATTAAATATTTTCGCTATCTTTTACTACAGTTTATTGACCGGTTTCACTTAACAACTAAGCATTGAAACTCATGTTTTCAGCTCTAGAAACTTGATCTAGGACCATTCCAAATTCAACACATGATCATAAAACCACACAACTAAATACGATCATACTAAATTTAGAAGGCATTGGATAAAACATGAATATATTTACCCTATAAATTATTCAACAAAAACAGTACATGGGGGGCATTTTGGGATTTTGAACAAAAATATGAACAGTACAGGGGGTTAAGTCAAATTTTGGTGATTTGATATCTTCATTTTCCTGTCTTCCGTTCCGTCTCGTCTTTGTTTTCTAAAGTAAAATTTCACCGGAAAGATCTCCCCGAAAAATGAGAACAAATATCAGCGCTTTCGCTTTGGTTCTGATCTTAGGGCTTTTCTTCACCCAAATCCAATCGCTCCGATTCGATCTGGAATCCGGTAAATCCAAATGCATAGCTGAGGATATCAAAAGCAACTCCATGACGGTTGGCAAGTACCACGTAGTCAACCCTAATGAAGGATACCCTTTACCCGATACTCACAAAATCACCGCTCGAGTGAGTTAATTTCGCCAATTTTCGCCAATTTTCGCTTTTTGTTTTTAATCTGTTTCCCTTTATTATTATTTGGTGTTTTTTTTTTTTTTTTGAAAGGATTATTATTTGGTGTTGAAATGCTAATATTCTTGCCGGATTTGGGGGTTACATTTGGGCATTCTTAGTATAAAACCGTTGCTTGATCTAACCGATTAAATTGCTTGATCCTTCCTTCTTTAAGAATGAAGATGTTGTTAGGATTAGTAATCCAGAATGTTCTGTCTGATATTGAGCAATCGAGGGAGTGTTGATTGATTGATGTTTGGTTTGTGCGTGTTAGGTGACTTCCACATATGGGAATAGCTATCACAATGCGGACAATGTGCCGGATGGACAGTTTGCATTTCAGACAGCAGAAGCCGGGGATTACATGGCTTGTTTCTTTGCAGCAGATCATAAGCCTCCAATCACCATTACTATTGACTTCGATTGGAAGACTGGTATTGCTGCTAAGGACTGGACAAATGTTGCCAAGAAAGGCTCTGTTGAAGTAAACCCGCTTTTCCTCTATGCTCTTACCTATGCACATCTCTATCCTTGCCATGAAATTATTCATCTCTATATCTCAATTCTTTTTCTGACACACATGAGACTCACAAACTAATTTTCATGTTGGCATATGACTATCTATATTCTTTGTGTTTGACAAGTACTTGTGATGAGAGTTCTACTTTCACAATAACTGGTGGTTATATATACTTATATAGTTATATGCATTCCAGTTGTGAAATTCTCTGCTGGGAAATGGGAAATGGGAAATTACATCTTGATATAGGGGGACTTGTTTCTGAACAGAAAATGATTGAGGATAATGTTGTACAAGTGATCATTAAGCTAAGGAGAATGAGATCATTTAAATAAAGTTGGAACTTTATCAACTGTTTATGCAATTTCATTATTATGTCTTGAATCTGGTTATCGAAACCATAATGCATCACAAGTATGTCTCAGTGTATGTTGTAATGCCTCATTCAGTGTTCAAGTGATAATGGATTATTGAACCAAAGATTAATAAGTCAGTTGAAGGTCTCCCTTTATGTGTCCTTTTTGTCATGCTACCTGCTCCTAATATTTTTTATGCTTGCTTATTGCTTCTGATTTAGGTAATGGAAATGGAACTGAAGAAGATGTATGAAACTGTCCAATCCATCCATGATGAGATGTTTTATCTTCGTGAAAGGTGACTTATTATAACACATGCAAATATGTGATGTCCATTTGTATGGTTTCTTCCACTATTAATATTTCTCAAAAAATGCACTTTGCAGAGAAGAAGAAATGCAGGAGCTTAATAGATCTACTCACTCCAAAATGAATTTGCTGACCTTTGTGTCTGTTCTTGTTTGTTTGTCCGTAGCTGGGATTCAGCTATGGCATTTGAAGACCTTTTTCGAAAAGAAGAAGCTTATCTAATGTCTTCCCCTGAGTTAATCTTTGTAGCCTTTGCCCTTGTTGATGTACAATCTTAGATCAATACGCTGAAGGAAAAGATACATTTTTAGTCAATGTCAAGATAGATGGATTGGTGGCAATAGCTTTGATAGTCCTAGGGCTTGAATACTTACTCCAATTTCCCCCTATTGCCTCCACTTAAATCAATTAAAACAGTTTCAGCAATTGCAAACACTTACTAATTATCTGGTGTATTACTTATTTATGTCTGCTTTTGGTTCTATAGCTTCTTTTTTGTTCCAAGATCAACTTTTCTTTGGCTTTGGTTTTGGTTTTGTTCAGCTCATGGAACACAGGAACAGCTATTGTGGTTTGAATATTTGATAAACTTGAGATATATTAGGATGGAAACATTATTCTATAGAAATTTATTGGTTCTATCACAATGTGAAAATACAAATACAATATAGTTACAGGTGAAGGTGGGGGCTACCTAAGACATGAAGTATGCTAGCTCAAGTGGTTGAATGACTGCCTGCACATTTGAATAAAGTATATATGAAATATAAAATTAAATGAATGAATGTAGACCTGTGGAGTAAATGTTCATTTAACTGTGGTTTTTTCAAGTCTCTTCAATATGTCTATGAAAGAAGGTCTCTTGCTAATATCCATTGCCCAGCACTGATCAACCAGCCTACAAGTTTCCAAATAAACAACAGAATAAGGAATTTCGTAAAGTTCCTAATTTTGTTCTTACTGTTCACAAAATCTGCCTAAAACAACAAATTTCATTTCACAACAGACGTGAGAGCTTCAAAGTTAATTAATCGTGTGGCTGTGCAACTGAGCTTTAGTGGTAAGTGGAGAGAATAAATTCAGAGATGAATGTTTTTGACAGTTGAAAATATAGTTAACTTACTCTTTCAGTTCAGGTACAAATCCTTTGGCCCGGAACACAGGTCTATGACCTTCTGCTAAATGTTTAGCTGCTTCATACGCTTCATAGTGAGACAATGGTGGATCACCTTCTAGCATCTGCACTAGTTCGTAATTCACTTGTGAGATTTTTGTTTCATCTCCCTTTCAAGTTAATCACGCTGTTGAAAGTCCTAAGATACCTCATATACTATCATCGCAAAGGAGAAAACATCCACCTTTTTGTCATATTTCTTGTGCTTGAAAACTTCGGGTGCCATGTAACGATCTTTTTGGCCACGTTACAAAAGAATTTAATAAAAATTGTAACACTTTAGAAGCATGTGCAACTTAACTTGGTTGCCTGAAAAGAGAGAAAACTACTACTTACAGCTCCCAGTTTCGCCTGTCATTTTGTATACATCATGAGAATTTTGAACACGAATGAGCTTGCTTAATCCAAAATCTCCAACTTTAAGATGCTCTGCACTGGAACTGACAAGAAGGACATTCCTGGAAGAACCCCCATACCCAGCATTACAATTATTTGAATGGTAAATGCATCATAACAGTTTGTGTATCCTTAACTCAAATGAGCATCAACCACAATCTACTTGAGGCAAGCAAGCCCTTATAACATACTTGGATTATATTGTTCTACTTGATTCTACTAAACTGTTAAATCCCAAATATTCCATAAGCCCTCAGTAATAAAATTCAACATCAGAGTTGCAATGTCTAACAGATATCCATGGGTCCATTCATGCAATGCAAAGATGTAAACTTGCCTGGGCTTTAGATCTCTGTGAATAATAACATTTGGCTCAGTGTGAAGATAAGCCATGCCTCTGCCCACAAAAATATGCCAATGGTGTTGAAAAAGTAGTTTATAGTTGGATCCGAAAAGTTAACAAAGAGGATATTGTAAACAATAAATTGAACTGCAACTACCTAGCAATGTCCATTGCGAAATTGATAGCCAATGGTGGACTAAGTGCACCTTTTTCCTTCAGATACTGATGAAGATCACCCTGTGACAGCATATAAATTGAGGGAAGGTTTTACAGTAGAACGAAAAGATGCTAATCGCTTACCCCTCTTAAATACTCTGTAATTAACATCAAAGGCTTTTTGTCAGTAACAGCTCCAAGAAATTGCACCACATTTGGATGACGAAGTTTCACCAACAAATTAACCTCATGCCTGAAATCTTGACTGTACCAAAGCAAACATTAGGTCTCAGTTCATGTAAATCTTTATAGCAATGACTGTAGATTTCTATGATGTATTAAAGGTAGCATTCATTTCTAGCAAACTCAAGGTCAGCAGTCACTTTGAATAATACATGGAATTCTGTGACTTCCACTTTGGAGGGAGGGGGGGGGGATGTTTCACACATTCAAACCCAGAACCAAGAAAGAAAATCCCATAAAGAAAAAGGCCCTATTGAAAGCATCAAAAGATAACCATAGCAACCAGTCTGGCTCCAAATCCTAATCATTTTGCACTAATAATAGGGAAAATTGAAACCAATGTTCCAGATTCCAGATATTCTTTATGCTTCAATTGGAAGTTTATTGGCTGTAAATGAATGTAGTCATCCCAAAAAGGTAAATTACATCACCATGCGATCATCTGAAAGATTTGGAAGAATGCGTTTGATAGCAACAGGAGTTCCACGCCAATAAGCTTTTACTATCTCACCAAATGACCCCTGTTTGTATCAGCTGCTATTAGTACACTATAAATTTGCAGAGACATAAAACAACTAATATACAGCACAGATCATGATAATGCCAACAACTTTCATCAAGCATTAGATACAATTACATAATAAAAAATAAAATAAAATAGAGAGACATGATATGTGTAGGAAAAAAGACATGGAGGACTGAAGCAAAGAGGAAGTGAAAATTGAAACAAACATGAAAATTCCACTTGGCATTAATTAGCTTCGTAAAGTATTTTCGTACCTTCCCAATAACAACTGAGTTTGTGAAGTCCAACTCTAAAGGATCAACCTCCCAATCACATTTATTTGGCAGAGGTGGTGGAACAGGTCTTGGTTCAAGATGGCTTCCACTTTGTCCCTAAAATATTACCACCAAAACTTAGAAGTTAGAACACAATCCACACACACACAGAGGAACCAGAAAACATATATCTCAGGGTGCATTTGCATACTTAGGAATACAACACCAAAAACATAAGGGCAGGATTAGGAAAAGAAAGTATAATCAGCGCAAGAAAATCACAAATATGATATCAAATAAAAAAACATATTGAGTATGCTTCAGAACCAGCTATAAAAGACGAGAGAAAGTGAAACACAATCAGGAATATGTTATCAAATGAAAATCATATGGAAGTTGTTACAAAACGAATTGCCAATAAAATTGGTGGAAGGAAAAAAAAAAAAAAAACAGAACTCTGAAGTCATTCACATGGAGACTAGTAAGAACAAGGGCACAAAAACAATGTAGTAAAAGAAAAGCAAGCAGTTAGTAGCATCATCTAAAATTCATAAAATATAATGCATTCATTTCAATTAATAACTCAATCATAGAAAATTTATTGAAGTTCTTCTGAAATATGTCAAGGAATGGAACTTACATAAGATTGACCACCATAGGACTTCAATAATTCAATCATGCGAAGCTTTCTAGATCCTTCAGCATCAGCCAGAGGCTGTCATCATGAACACCATTCAGACATATCCAAGAGTATATGCTTTGTAATAAAACGTAAATAGAGGTAGAAGAGTGTACATGCAAGTTTATAGACAGATGTCCCATGTTCTTGGGAGGCCCTCCTCAACAGGAAATAACTCAAAATCCAAAATTTTAAAAATTACAAACCAAAAAATGGATCATATTGTAGATTCAGCCATTCCTAAGAAAATGGACACTCTAATAATGCAACCTCACTAGTCATCATCAAAGTAGGGAAATAGTCAAAATACAGAGAATAAACCATCTAACTTAATGTCAGTAGACATGCAGATTAATGTTCCAACTCTCGAAGCAAAATATTATAGTACATTTTGTTTTTGGAAGTGGAAAAAGATGATGTCTTTAGTTTCTGTGAACTTCAGGTCACTGGTCTGGTTGAATTTGAACTCCCAAAACAAAATGCCAAAACGAAACATTATAATACATTTTGTTTTAGGAAGTGGTAAAAGATTAAGCTTTTAATTTCTGTGTCAACAAGAGATAAATGTAAGAAAATTAAAGGAAGAAGGAAATAGGAAACCTAAAAATTAAAGAAAACATTAAGACAGAGGTTGCAATCCCACTAGTTCACATTCCTAGTGAAACAAAGAAGAAATATTAAAGTAGGAGAATTTTGAGGAAATGACAACCTGTGAAGGACATTATAGATATACATATTCTTCAAAATAATTCAACTCGATTTTTGGTTTATCATAACAGAAAAAAAAAATATAGTTAACTTAACATCATTTTACTCCCTAAAGTTTTGAATAATACCTCCAAATTAAATTCACAATGTATACGAGTTTTCCACTGCACATAATACATCTAGCGGCAAGGGAACAAGATATGCTTTAAGAAGAATATCCATCGGAATAGAAATATAGAATATACTTCATATTCACCATCATTGTGCTCCATGTTTGTCAATTGTCATGATATTATTCATTCCATTTCAAGCAAATTTATTAAGCGAAAAATATTATATATTCATAATTTCGAGAAACACGTCGAATACAAATACGATGAACAGATATATACGTAGAAGGGCGTTATGTTGCTCTTGATTATTACATGCAGGATAATTTAATTTACATCACAATGATATGATGGAATAAATTGGTTAAAGGACAAACTAACATATTTAATTACACGTAGAATGAATACGAAAAAGTATACCGTATTTTTCCAACGATCTTGGGCATTGACGTTGGCGCCGTGCTCAATCAAACATTTGGCGACGTCGATCCAGCCGTGGAGAGCAGCGACGTGGAGAGGAGTACGGTGGTCGTAATCTCTGGCTTGAACTAGCGTCCTATCTTCCTCTAGCAGCTTATGTACTGCCTTGGCGTCGTTCTGGTGGGCGTGCCAGAGTATCATCGACGTCCGGCTCGGTTTCGACTTCCCTTTCCTTTTCTCCGCCGCCGATCCTGGCTTTCCCCCACCGCTAGATTGGCCTGTACTTCCGCTCATTTCGATCGCAGACTGGCTTCCGCTCTGTGAGCTTGCTTTCTATTAAGAGTTCGTTGGCTTTTGTATGCGTGTCTATACGCACGTGCCCAGCTTTCATTCTGTTATTCCTTCTTTAGGACTATCATAATTTAATTTAATTTAATACTCCGTAATGTCTAAACCCAGGCCAGGCCAGGCCACGATGTTTGATGTATTTGAATATCACTCACTCCTAACTTCCATTTCATGTTTCGCTTTAGCCCCATTCCAATTTACCACACTTGTCACTTATATAGTTATATATATACACGGAGTAATATTAATATATTCCATTGCTCAATTATTACGGAGTATAAAATTTTTTATACATTCTAAGCTAATTTTAAACTCACAGCGCCCTTGCCTAAGAATCATTAGATGAAGTAAATCTCAAGTCCACAAATCAATAGCATTGTTTTCTTATGGATTATTTAATTGTTAAATATAAAATTTGAATGCATACAATTTTTTTTCAATTATAAATTTAAAGACCAGATCTTTTAGTAGCAAAAATACTTTGCAAAATGGTTGTCAATAATAACAGCAACAAATACACAATAATGTCGTTGCAGTGGTTCAGTAAAACCTAATGGTGAAGAATGCAAATTCCAACTTGAATTCACCCAAAATTTTCAAAAGCCACAAATCTTTATAGTAAACAGAAACCTTAAATTCAAATACAGAATGGTTCTGGTTCCCTTAAAAGTCAACTAAATCAAAAAGGAAATATGAAATCAACTCATAAGTTGCAATCTGAAACTCAAGCCATTATTTTGGCAGATCTTATGAAAAGACTGTCAACAACCTTCCCCATGTTTGAGATGGTTTCCAATGTAGCTGGATATATGGCATCTGTCTTGGGATCATCGAAAATTACGAGGCATCCTGCACCTTGGTCGAGAGTTCCAGCAAACTTCTTATCCAAAATCATCTGGGATAGCTTCTTCTCAACATGGTCAGCGGGCAACTCAATCAACTCAGCAATATGACCGATTTCAACCTTCGAGAAAGGCTCAATCAACCTGCAAAGATTTTGCTCTAACAAAGTGTCATAGAGGGAAGAAAGGTGCCTGTGGACAATGGGATCTTCATCTAGCTGTGTCTTGAAATCTCGAAGAGCAATCTCAAATAGCTTCAATGAGCGTTTTGAGTGAGCATCAGCAACAGCTTTCATAGCATCCAGTTCTGGTCCCTGATACTGCAATCCAACCTTAGGCGATGATATTATGCTTGCTACATCGTCAGCCTGGCTCACCATGATCTTGCAAAGCAACATATATTTGAGGCTATATATGGCCTGTGAATCTTCAAGAGCATTAAACGCTTCAAATGCTTCATAAAAATAGCTGTAAGCAGTTTTATAATCTTTCTCCTCAGCATGAAGGATCCCACTCTGCAAATCAATAGAGCCCTGCTGACCTGGAGGCACATATATAGCATTGGCTGCTGTACGGGCAGCTGTCAGCGCAGCTTTTGCTTTGGGAAGGTTTCTCAACGCAAAATGAAGCTTGCTCTCTAGCAAGTCAATCTCCACAAGCAACAGCTTGTCATCCAATCTTCTTACCTCCTTAATCAGCCCTGAAAGGAGTGTCAATGCCTCACCATACTCCTTGCTTTCCATCAAAAGAGCAGCAAGTCTAGCCTCAATCCTTTGGCGGAGGAAAGTTCGCTTCTCAGCTCGGGTCCACTGCACTATGTCTTTGCAAAGGGCAATCTGAAGATCAGATGTACCTGGTATTTTTGACAATGCATCAACAACAACTCGAACAATTTTTGCTGTTTTTGCCTTTGGTATCAAAGAAAAGAAGGGTCGCAATTGGGTCAGAAGGTTTTTAAGTTCCTCTGCCCTATTCTCCTGCCTTAGCAGGTCAGAGAGATTGGAGATTGCCTGTTCTTTTATCCTTAAAGCATCAGAAGAAGACGAAGGGTTATTGAGGATGCTGTAAAGGATAGAGAGAGCCTCAGATGGACTTTTAGCCTCAGAAGCCTGAGCAAGTGAATCTGTTGTTGCAGGAAGGTATGATGAAGCCATGTCCAACAATTTCAGATTACAAGTCCTGCACTTCAAAGTAAAAACACTTTATAAGAGAATATGCAAGTAGCCACCATACTTTAGTACAAATGTATATTCGGAGGTGTTTGGAAAACTACACCAAGGTAGACATATTACATACAAATGAATTCTCAAATTTTATTTTTCATATCAATGGCATCTAACGGTCCCAATAATGCAGGGCAAGAGTTCAATTTTCTTGAAGGGTATCTCAGAGGAAAGTTAGTGCTATAATGGCACAGAAAACAAGAGTAAATAAAACAGTTCAAATGCTAACAAATCTAGAAGGGAATGGGGGAGGGGGTCTGTGATCAACATTACTGATACTGTTAGTGCTATAATCAGATTTGTCTACATCATCTTCTCCACCATCACTACTATTGCTAGCATAAAAGCATTATTCTTGTTATTGATATTCAGTGCACAACTGATACGCCATGATAAAAGCTGATTATAGAGAGTCAAATCAAGAGGGAGTTATGATATCATTACCTTATTTTGTTAGTATAATTTTGGTAGCTTAGTTATTAGCTGCATTAGTAATTTAGTATAAACAGTCATGTACTCATGTTGTACAAACAAAAGGATCAATTAGACTATAAAGGAATTATCTTTCCTTGCCATATTCTTTCTCTCTATTATGTCTCTATAATCTCTCAATTCTGTCTCCCTACCCTCTCTCTATTCTTTCACTATCCCCCTTTCTCCCTTGATAATCTGTTTTCTTTCCCTCTTCATTCTTGATTCTCCCTCTCTAGTTCTTCTTCTCGGAGTCGACACTCACTTGAAATAGTACTACCTTGATAAATGATCTATCAATTGGTGCTTTAATGGGGTTAACCCATGAAAGTATCTGCTATGACCCTTGATACAAGATCATACGATTCGTATCAATAACTATGTCTTAATTCATTATATAGCTAAACATATACATCAAGAAAAAAAGGTTTACTAGGTAAATGAAAAGCAAGCATTTTATGAATGCCATAAGTCTTCACAACATGCCCAACATAAAGTCCCTATTCACAACCAAGCTAAACAATAAATTGACTGGACTGAAGGTCCACTGCTAGAATGGTATAGACTAAGGAACAGGAAACATTTACACCATTCATAACCTTATAGACTAAGGAACAGGAAACATTTACACCATTCATAACCTTGTTAAGGACATACAATTTACACAACAAAATCTTAACTCCAAAATTTTGCAGCCATGCGGCCTTGCAAATCAGACAAGTAACACAATGGCCAACAGATTCCACAGTACTATGAAATAGCTATTCTGAGTTCAAGAAAAACAGATCTCTAAATACCATAGATCGAACGGGTTTCTTTTTTTTACATGAATTATAGTATATCCAGCTTCAAATAAAATTGGCTAGTAAATATTACAATAACCAAATAAACTCAGAATTCTAAGTTAATAAACGATATGAATGATAAATTTAATCACTATAAATGGGAAACGAGAGTACACTTGAGAAATCTTACGCTGTATTGAAACTTTATTAGCAGTCCAAACTCTAAATTGCAACCTCGTAAACCCTTTGACTAGGGCAGGGAGAGAAGTAGAGAAAGTTGGATTCGATTTCTAATAAGTGATTGAGAGAGAATGGGGCTAATCAAGTGTGATTATGTGAGCATGAGATCCGTGGCGGGTCGGGTCGTCCGTATACTTGTAGGAGTGCAGGAAGAAAGGTATCCCATTTGCCAAGTTACCTAAAAAAAAGTAAAATTCCAGTTAGATTTTTTTTTTTTTTAATTACATCTTTTTGTTTTTTTGAAACAACCTCTTTTTGTCTTTTTTTTTTTTTAATTATTAACTCTAGTAGAAGGTAGTATACCCCACCAACGGAGTTCAATCATATGGAATTCCTTCAAGGAGAGTCACAAAGTTGTCATCAGCACAAGGTGCTTGGCCCTTCTTAAAATTTCCGTGACAATTTGGCATTAGTGGTCGGGTGATAGAATGAATTTTGAATGATTTATCATTAACGCATTTTTAGAAGGCAGGTTTCTGGTGATAGAATGAATTTTGAATGATTTATCATTAATGCATTTTTAGAAGACGGATTCTATGGTGTGCAACGACAAGAGGATATTAGAAAGAACTAAATTTGAATCAAATTCGTGTGACTTTTTAATACAAGAATTATATTGTATATATTCAATTTTTTTTTTTTGTCGAAGACATATTTTTATTACTCCGTATATAGGTTTGGGTTATAAAAAAGGATTAATATTTAAGCACTGTCGTTGTATAGATGCTATACACCAGTGGTGAATGAAAAGACACCACCTCATTTAAAAATAAAATCAACATTAGCCAAGTCCTTATTTGTAAAATTTATATTCCTTTCTAAATTATTATATTTTTAATAAGGAAACTTTTTATTTTTTATTAACAAAATAAAAATACTTAGATTTGAAACCAGAATCATGAATGTTGGACCTCAAATTAAGTATTTTTATTTTGTTAATAAAAAATAAAGAGTTTCTTTATTAAACACACAATAATTTATAAAGGCATATAAATTTTGCAAACAATAACTTAATTAATGTTGATTTTATTTTTAAATAAGGTGGTGTCTTTTTATTCACCGTCGGTATATAGATGCTATATACCGGCGGTGCATCAAATAATAATCCTATCAAAAACTGGTAGAAGACAAAAGGATGGATTACGAAAATGTAACACAGATTTGATAGAGGATTTGTTGTGTTGATAAGTTTGTTAATTTTCTTCAAGACTTTGGAATATTGTTATTGGAACCAAATATTTACTTAAAATATGTACATCAAAATTCCATGCACCATCTAGTGTTTTATTCATTGGTTTCCCTCGTCACCAAATAATAATAATAATAATAATCATAATCATAATAACATTTTATTTATTAATTATCTTAAATTAACCTCAAATCTAATTATTAATCAAATACAAATTATTTATAATCACATGCTCCAAAAAATGCTAATCCCTTTAGCATGGTCCAAGACTTTGCTAGGAGTTTTTGGTTATAGAATCTCAACCATATTTTACTAGACTACCAAAGTACTTAAAATATTAGATTTTATTAAGTACTTTGTGCTCTAATAACTATTATTTTTCACAAGAAAAGTTTGAAGTTTGAGTCTCATCCGAATCAAATCATGCATTCTGAACTCAATAATCTTTGTTCCTTGTTTTTAAAAATAAAAAAAAAAAAAAGATAAAAAAAATTGTTAACTCCCACACCATCTCATCAAAAGAAACATGACTAGTGAATCCACATCCTCCATTTACAATTGAGTTAACCAAAGGGGTTGCAGAAGGAAGCTTGTAAGATGGTGATAACAGATCAGCAGACATTCATTCTCTTTCTCTGAAGTCCAAAACATTAGACCTTCCATATTAAACAGAACAGGCCAAGATAAAGCATGCAACTTTACAAGAACTTGGCCAACAAATGAACAAATCTCATCTCATCTCAAAGTACTTGCAAGAGCAAAATGATTAGTTAAGGGAACTTATAAGGTGTTCAAAGCCTTCTGCTGTTAGCCTGGCTTGATGAAGAAGATGGCACAATCAATCTAATGTCCCTCTCTTTCGGGTCACTCCACTGTGCTGATCTTTGCACGAATCTGGTAGGAACTCGGTCGCTATCTTCACCCCCAGACGCATCATATCCATCGCTAGTTGAGCTTGACAACGGGATTTCCTTCTGTAAAGTAAATCCGGATGTTGATAGACCATCTTCAGCTCCCGAGACCCGGAGAGGGTGAATATCAGGAGAGTCCAAACTGCTCTCGGGGGAAGAAACAACAACACCTCTCGAGCTGGACTTTGCTTGGCTCGGGTGGAAAGCACTTCTTGATGGCTCAGTGATCACAAGGCCTCTGTTTCTTTGACCACTTTCATTCAATAGTTCACTCAAATTTTCAAATGGTAGCTCTGCAGGTAGTCGAACACCACGCTTACTAGGTCGCCGCTTGTTATTGTCAGGCCTAAGGGCGATTTGACGGCCACTACTTCCAAAACTACTGTTAGCTTCAGGGAGGGCATGAGGGGTTTGCTGTCTCACAACAGGCTGCAGAATTTTCGACTTCTTCCGTGCCTCGGCAGCAGCCTTTGAAACATCCTCGGCGTTCATCCTTGCTAATGTCCATGGACTGATCTTCACAGCTGCAGGGTTCTTTTTCTTCACCGCCTCCTCAGCCATAGTCTTTCTCCCGAGTGAACTGACAGATACATTGTCAGGAGGAACTACATCAAACTGCTGAAACAGTAACAATGTCATTTATTAAGTTAGTGAAACATATATATATATATATATATCATGGTTGTAGTAGGCGCTAGTCGGGCCCCCGGATAGCGCCTAGCGCCTAGACGGTCTAGGCGACGCTGGGCGGGAGCCAAAAAAATAGTGGCAGACTTACAGTTTGACAATTTTAATGAGGTTGTTTTCAACATTCAATCAAATAACACATCCAAATAAATGAAATAATGATAGTTCATAAGTCATAACATCAAAACAATATTAAAAATTAAAAATACTCAAATACTTCAATCATCAAAGATTCAAAGTATCAAACTATTCTACGGGTGTATATATGTCATATTATATATATATATATATATATATATATATATATATATATATATAATGAAAAAAAATTAGCAAGGCTGAGCTGATCGGGTTAACTCGACCGAAATGGGCGCGAGTTAACTTGGCTAAGTTAGATGCTAGGCGGTTTGCCTAGGCGGCCAAGCCGGCCGAGTTAGGCGCTAGGCGGACGCCTAGGCGTCCGATCGCTTAGGCGAGCGCCTAGGGGGAAACTTGCCACGGTCTAGGGGCGCCTAGCGCCTAGACCGATTTTTGCAACAGTGATACATATACATATCAGAGAAAAGTGGTAAAGTACCTGATCCTCGAGAAAGAGAGGCGGGGGTGTGCACCAAGCAGCCCGATGAAAAGTATTAAGGGAGCTTGCACTGCTTAGCCCAGTAATGGAACTAACTGTCGACATTTGGGGACTTTGCTGACCTTCAACGCCTTGTTGCTCTTGCTCCCTCAGGGCCATGATATAATCGTATGTGCTAATTCCCTGTCACTTCCAAGTATAACATTGTTAGTTGGAAGCCAAGGAGGTTCACTGGTTTAGAAGCTTCACATGATGAAAAGCAGACCTTCTTGATAAGAATCATGTGAAAGAAGAAAAGTTGAGCAAGTGGCAATGTTGCTATCATCGCCAATACGGTGCAGACCGCCTGTCATATGCATATTTTTCCTTAGTAACGCAATGAACGAGGAAGATAAGGCAAATGAGTTTCTCCTATCTCTTTTACTCATCTAATGCCTTGTAACGTTTTCCACAAACCAACATGTAATGACAATGACTTCAAAGAAGTGAAAGAACACTCACCACAACCATAACAAATGGAACCACAGAGAAGCTGCTTCCTAGTTTTGAGGTGATTTCGGCATTGAATCTCTTCTTCTCTATAAAGCAGCAGATTAGAACAAGGATCCCTGTTGACCACTGAAGTATAAGCTGCAATCCCCAGTCCAAGGTGCAGAAACAATAAAAACCTGTCAACATTTGATTAAATAAAAAAAAAAAAAAAAGAGGCTAAAATATCGATTTTGCCAACCCCTTTTCTTCACGCCTCAAATCCCCATTCATGAAATTTAAAGGTCAGAAAGAAGAAAATTGCCAAGACCTTTTTTTGGAACCTCAAATCCCTAAACCTTTTTCTTCAAACACATTTAGGGTGGAGGTATTAGAAAGAATGAATGAAAACAAAACTGGCTGAAAAACCGAGGAGAAAACCCCATGTTCAACACCACCGCCACTGTCCCTCACTCGTCTCTTCTTTGCTGATTTCGATTTCAATAAAGGGAAAGATTTTATCTTTGTGGGTAAGGAATAAAAAGCCCTATGTTTCCTTCATCTAAAGAACCGGGGCCATATTGACATTTTACCCAAAACAAAAAATAATGTCATGAAAATTGCTTGTTCTGAGTTGGACTTCACTATTGTGTTTTTATCTCAGAAAAATCTAATAGATGGAAGGATAGGCAGGAGAACGGACATTAAAGTAGGGGATTAACTGTGAACTTAGATGGTATTCTTGTTTACCTGCATATGAATTCAATAATTCATACACACTTAACCAAAATACAAATGCAACCTAAAGAATTGATCCTATATAATCTTGGATGAGTCTAAAGACAATACGAAGACACTGCAGATTCATTGTAATGGCATAAAGCAAGCAAGGTCTACACATACCAGTAGGAGAGCAGAAACCATGAGGGTAAAGAATTTCCGATAGTTCCTTTTGCCTACACAATTATTTAGCCACTATAAAACAAAAGTGAGGACAAGAATTAGTATTCTCACACATCTGTAAATTCATGCATATAGATGTACATCTGAACATGCACGTGCTTCAACAAGCAAAATTTGAACTCCAAATCATAGAATCTCAAATACCCTGCAATGGTGATCAAAGCGGTCAACACATTTGTCACATACTCTACAGTGCTTGCTGTATTTGAACACCTGCATGGTGATAATATCGTGATTGATTAGGTTTAGGTGGTAATATATTGCAACAATCCCCATAACTAGCGATAAAAAGTAGGTGTATCAGGGTCACACTGCAGAAATATGGTATTCTAGAACAG